TGTTAATCGGGAACGTGTGCTATCATCATACCAAATTTCAGCCCAATCCGACCAGTAGTTAAAGCGTGATTGAACTTCAAACAAACAAACCAACAAACAAACAAACACACAAACTTTCACATCTATTCTATATATAATTCAGTTTTAAAAATCTTTGTACAACTAAATCTAGAGTTCTACTGGACCGATTTTATTAATTAATGGGTCGTTGGAAAGCTTAGGTCGTGTAGATTTGCAAATAATTATGAAAGTTTGTTTTTATTATGATTTATGGTGAAAATTTTCAAAAAAACATGTTTTCCATAAGAAATACACTGAAAACGGTGTTTTTTACACTTTTTATTTGGGTACGACTTTTAGCTGCCTTTTTTTAGTGTTTCCAAGAAGTGTATGGTATCAATTTGTAGGAAATTTTATTCTCTTTCAGAATATCACCTTCCACTTTGGTCGATTTCCTCACCATTTAAAAGTTGTTTGCAAAAAAGCTAAGCAACCTCCGAATTTATAATAATGAGAAAATATTGAGTTTGGGATATTTTTGTTAAACTTTGTACAACTAAATCTAGACTTCTACCGGACCGATTTTGTTAATTAATGAGTCATTGGAAAGCCTTACTCATGTAGATTTGCAAATAATTATGAAAGTTTGATTTTATTTAATATTTGTGGTGGAAAAATAAAAATAAAAAAAATACATTAAAAACTGTTTTTTTCAGGTTGTTATTTTCAAGTTTATATTTGTAGTCAGCTTTTGGCTGCCTTTATTAAATTATTTCAAGAAATACACAGAAGGTATTTGTAGGAAATTTTATCTTCTTTCAGAATATTACTGCATTTTCTACGATTTACTCACCATTTAAAAGTTATTGTCAAATTAGATAAGTGACCTCCAAATTTTTAGTTGTTAAAAATACTGAATTAGGGATATTTTTGTTAAACTTTGTACAGCTAAATCTAGACTTCTACTAGACCGATTTTGTTAACTAATGTATCGTTGGAAAGCCTAATTTGTGTAGATTTGCAAATAATTATGAAAGTTTGATTTTATTAAATATTTGTGGTAAATAAAGAATAAAAAGCAAAAATACATTAAAAACTGATTTTTTTTTTAGTTAATATTTTAAAATTTTAATTTATAGTTAACTTTAGGTTGCCTTTTTTGAATATTTTCAAAAAACGCCTAAGAGTCCTTTGTAGCAAATTTTATTCTCTTTCAGAACATCACCTTCCACTTTGGTCGATTTCCTCACCGTTTAAGAGTTATTTGCAAAAAAGCTTAGCAATCTCCTAATTTATTGTGGTGAGAAAATATTGAATTGGAGAGATTTATGTTAACTTTCTACAACTAAATCTACAGTTCTACTGGACCGATTTTATTAATTAATAGGTCAATAAAATCTGTGTAGATTTCCAAATAATTAGTAAAGTTTGAGTTTTATTTATTTATGGTAGTAATACGTTTTGCCGGTATGAATAATCTAAAAAATTGTATGGTAGTAATAATGGGTTAGCCAGTATGCATCATCTGATCATATGGAACACATGTATTAGATTGTTTTATTGTTATTTCCTTGATTTTTCTTTGTTTACATTTAGTTGTTTACTATTTGAATTGGTGGTTGAGGTCCGTAAAGTGTGTTTCTAAAGTGATGTTTTTAATCTGTACCATTAATAAGTATTGGCAAGTTAAGTGATGTATGGATTTCATAACCAAAAATTATTATTTTAAACTGCCAATTATAAATTATTCAAATTTAATTTATAATTCACAGTTTAAAATAGTATTTAATATTTGTTATTTTGAAATGTTAATTATAAACTCAATATTTTACATTAGTTTAAAAATGAATAACTTTACTCTTCACTACATGGTTGGTGATGGAAACTGTTTCTTTAGAAGTGTCTCATTTTTATGCCATAAATCTCAATCCAGATACAGTGATATACGATCCACGGTAGTTGATGAAGTCGTCAATAACTGGGACTACTATTGTCCTTTGATCGTAGGGGATAAGACATATAGACTAGAAGGAAAAAAACGCGACGGAATACAGAAATTTGATGACCTAAAGATGGGGAATACGCCGGTAATGTCGAAATCGAAGCTGCAGCAAGAGTTTTTGACTGCCAATTCAAAATATATGCTGAGAAATTGGATTATTTTGTAACGGTTGGTGAAGGCACAACGATCTATAAACTACGATTCTCAGGAAATGTGGATGCTGGGCATTACGATGTTTTGATAGACAATAGTATGCCTGAGAATCAAGAGGATATAATCTTACCAAAATCAAAACGTGGCCGTGCATAAAAAATATGGAAAAAGTAAAACATGTTCTGGCAGACGTGAATCAACAGCTCATAAAAATAAATTGAAGAAACCAAATTATAGTATAGATAAAGATTTACTCCAAGGGGTAAAAAAGTGTTTATCAAGCAATCAAAAGGATGGAGAACCAGAAAATGAAAAAGAAACAGAACAAGATAGTCTGACCAACACTTCACTCAGAGATGATGCAACTTCCTCAACCTCCTTAATTTGTGTATTGGGAATGCCAATACAAAAATTAAATTTAAAAATTGGAGCTGTAATAATATTGCTACGAAATCTTAACACAAAACGGGGGTTATGTAATGGGACACGATTAATTGTTAAAGAACTCAAGCCCAATTAAATAATTGCAGAGGTTTTAACTGGATCAGCAGCACGTGAAATTGTATTCATTCCAAGGATTGAATTAGCACAGACGGACACAGATTTACCATTTGTTTTAAAAAGACGTTGCTTTACTCTTTTAGAAAATCAGTTTATTTTCTAAACAATTTCATTCTTAAAAAAATGTTCAGGTACTTACAAGGGCATATATTATGTACTACTGTACTTTCTAGGGACCGTTGTATTTATTAACTACAACGGGCTCTGTTGCTAGTTTATAATATTAGTAAGATTGTAATCAGGCAGACCAAATGTTATATTTACCACCCGTTATCATTGTGTTGAACAGAACACCTCACATGCCTTTCTGCGAGTTTTTGTTTTGTATAATTCATATTTAAAAGTAAGATTTAATGTAGATTTTAATACACTTTGAATGCATCCGTACCAAAATAAAAGTTAATTTTATGTGTCAATTTATGTTTGGATATAATTATTAAAAAAATTTAAGTTTATAATTTTATTGAACATTTAGTTTACATTTGTCTGATAAACAAATTTAGATTGTATTCTAAATATTTGCAACTGTAGAGACCATTTTGCTATACAAATCTTTATTCCCAACTCTGTAAGAGGAATTTAATAATTAGTCTTTTTTGAAAATATTTTTTAAGTATTTAACACTGTTTTGCCACTATTATTGTATCAAACATTTTATATACTGTTGTAACACAATATGTTTTAGTCTACATTGTGATCTGTGGTAAAATAAAAATATTCCAATATCCCGCTTGTTTGCAGAAAGGGAGTAGACAAAGCAATAAATATGATGGGGTTATGAACAAAATTTCAGATCCTTTATAGACCACAGCTTTGTGTTTGTTTAGCGTAGTTTCAACGCATCACAGTCCGTCAAACACTGTTTCGCAAACACAGTCTGAAACATACATTTGTGTTGAAACAGGCCAAACATAACATAATAAACCTGTTGACCTCTGTAAGTTCAGTCATAGTTCAAGGACAACATTTTCTCTCCAAGTCACAAGGTTTTCTATTTGTAAATAACAAAATTTCAAATAAATAAAAGATGCAGTAAAGTGAGGTGTTAATAAACTTAAGAATACAATTTAAACTTGTTGGGGATTTAAATAATTTTTAGGTACAGTTTTCATTTTCTTTTTAGAACAAGATTTGAACTAAATTACATTCTTTTGATTTTTACCAACAATAATGGATGAGAAACATTTATAAAATCAGATCAATCGTATTTAAAAGTGTTAACAAAATTTTGAACTGTGTAGTATCCATTGAGTAGAACTCAAAATTAATTATATGAAATATAACTGCTTTTAAAGATATTTTATCTGTATAATTTTATAGCTCTGTTATAGTTTGCAGTATTAATAAGTTTATAAAAAACAATTTTAGTTCTTTTAACCATACCTGGCACAAAAATTTCACCACCATACCTAGCATTTAAAGTTTCATTGACTACTCAAAATAGTATTGAAAAATAACATCCATTGTGCTGTACTGGGTTTATAGATTATCGTATAAAAGTTACCTTGTATAAATATGTTTTTCTTTGCTTTTTACTATTCATTGATTTTATTTGAAGCTGTACCATTCCATTGGCTAGACATAATTTAAAACTCTTTTTATAAACTACTGTAATGGTATTTAATAAGATTTGATTGAAAATTTTAGTATCTTTAAGTTTTGACCAGATAATTTGCTTTTATTAATAGTGGTAGTGCTTTTATTGGTGTGTCTCTATTATTCCTTTAAATCAAAGAGATTAATCCAAGCTGTGCAAGCAGTGAGGCATTTATCCAACATTGGAACCCATTCATTTATGTTTCTTCCCATTATCTCTAAGTTTAGTGTTTAAACTTAATTTAATTTAAAAAATTCTATAATTTTTACTCTGGATTGTCATTTGTAACTCTTGATTGATTGCAGTAATTGTGTACTTTGCTTAAATGTTAATAGTAACAATGTTTATCTTGATAAGACTTTTTCCGGTTTAATGTCTTGTTGTTTTAGATACCGATTTTTTTAAATTATTGCATACCTTTTACTGACAATGATTAAAAAGTTTTAAAAAGTGATTAGAAAACTGTATGCAACTAAAATACTTCACGGTGTTATAAATAAAAATGCAACAAATTAATTTGATATCAACTCAATTTCTTAATAGTACTTGACGAGCTCTAAGAAATGATATCCTATCCAACTGTTTTAACATTTTACCGCAACAATGTACAATACAATTGGTAATATTGATTTATTATGAAGTTAATAAAATGAGCCTATATTTAAAGAGTTTTTTTTTTTGTTACAGCCAAATGTCATGTTGAAACTATGGACTGAAGAATTCCTTAGTGTAAGTACTGTTCTTGTTTTTATTATTCATCAGTGTTTCTTTGTTTTTTGCTTGCAGGATAACTTTTAATTCAATACTCTAATATGAACTGCTACATTATACAAAGGCAAACAAAATGAGGTTTATGATTATTAGAAAATTCCTACTGGAATTTTCATAAACAGGATGAATAAATTATGTCGAAACTAAATCTTTCTTGTAAACTGAAGGAAGAACTTTTTCTGAAACATTATTGTAAATTTTAGATTGAAAGGGTATGGATGGACAGTTCCTTAGCTTTTTATTTTTAACTTTACACTTATAAATAATTTTACTACATTTTAATTAATGCTTTGATTTATTTAACAGATTTAATATTTATCGAACAAAGCTCAACAAATTACTTAGCGAGTAGTGTTTTAAAAGTCTGACAGAAATTCTTTGATTTACAGTAAGTTTAAAATAATTTATTACAGCATTTTTCAAAATGATTACTTAATATATGAACAGTTATAAAAGCTTTGAGTTTTGTTTGTTTATAATTTTTAATATTTTTCACATTTATGTTGGGTTTGAAAAAATATTTAACTAAACGATAATGATTAAAGGGACAAAATAAGCTATTAATAGTAACTATACTGTACTTAAATTTGCCTTATCCAGGTTTCTAATGATTTATGAATATTTTCTTGAAAATATGTCAGTAAAAAACTTTTTAGCAGTTTTTTTTTAAATTTACATATTTATTGGTCATGACATTTCTCAAAATAATATTATGACATCATAATGTAAACAAAGAAAAAAAAAATAATGAGTAAATTAAAATATTTAAGTAAAAAATTGACCATTAAATTTAACATCCATCTCCAATTAATTGCAGTTGTATTTCAAGTATTTAAGTTTTTTAAACAATATCCCCAAAGTTCTCTTCCAATATAAAAGGAATTTTCAAATTTTAATATAATGAAAATTCATCAATTTATTTTTTTCTTAGTTTATTTATAGGTTAGAACAGGTTCATGTTTCGGTCTACAAAGTCGTTATCAGACAAAGTATCGTTATCAAAGTTGGAATGTTGGGTTTCAAGTTGACAAGCTTCATCTTGCATCTCCATGCCTTCAGTTGAGCTAGGATCATGGCTCTGAGAAGACAATCAACCTCCTTGAATCACCCTGATACGGTTAGTATTGTCTGCTTTTTAAAAAATAATAATTTATTTATCATAGAACATACTGACATCAACAAGTGTTGTGTGTGTTTAGTGTGTATAAACATAGGTTCTTAGAATGGCTTATGTGTATAGGATTAAAGGCTGTAGTCTCTGATCTTGTTACCTTAGACATGAACCCATTTTTACTATTGAATACTGTTTAAATAAACTCATTATATTCATTGATCAGTAAAATTAAATAATATCTCTCACACATAATGTGTTCAATACATCTCCTATTTACGCACTGCTTTTTATTGTATCTATCTACACCAGTGGCATTTATTAAAATTTTTATGAGGGCACATTCCAAATGCTGGTATTGTTATTATTTAATGTTGACCTGTTGTAAAAAAATCTTCTTAAGGGTTATCATAATGAAAACTCTAGAGAAAAGATCCAGAGACCATAGACTATACCTTGCTTTAGTATTATTTATTAAATCAACTGACTTTGACTTTTATACACCTTTTATATTTGTTTAACTGTCAGTTATTACAAAACCAGTCCTTTCCATTACAGAGCATGGCCTTGTAGTACATTTAGGAAAATAGTAATTTAATAATTTCATATATTGCATGGTTCTTTTTTTTACAAAGCTTATTTTGATTTGATACATATTGCTGCCTAACAGTTTTATAAAAGCTGATCTGCAGCATTTTTAATTTTGTTCTTTTTTTACATTCTGAATATTTTTCGCTGTCTTTAGTTGACTTAATTCAAATTTGAAAAAATCTGATTTTAATTTTGAAATTTTTTTATATAAGCATAAAACAGGATTTAAACCCGTCCCTCCCTCACCGAAGTTTGATCAGCCAATATACTAGCAACACAGTTTTTAACTCACAATCATCACTGTGTGTTTGAGTGTCACACTGCCATCTTCAATCCGTACTTCCACAATCCTGGATGATTTATTTAGTCCAATTGAGTGTTTACTGTATTTTTCTAATACGACCTTCGTAATTTCCAAAGTTTGTAGATTAAATGCAGCTGGTTTTGTGGTTGTAACGCGACATTTCTGTCAGGAGGCCCAGTTTTAAATCGTACCAATAACTAATGAATTGATCTGTTAATCAAGAGTTTATCCAAAACTGTAACCCTCCTAAAAAATAAAAATTGCTGATGTCTCACAGTGAGAATCGTCTCTGTAATGGAGATCTCACTAAAACAATAATTTGTTCCGTAGTTGGACAGGACATCGATCAGCCTACTTGTGATGATATGTGAATGTCCGGTGTGTGGGAACGTGGCCAAGCCTCCCATGAAGATGTGTTTCAACGGACACGTCAGTTGTGTGGCTTGTGTACTAGATACCCCATCTTGCTCTACTTGTCAGGTAAAGGACCATGGTTCCAACATTGGTGACAAAAACTGGGTAAACAGATTTTTGCTTGGGACTTTAAATATGTGTTAAGTTTTTTTTTAGCTTAAGACTTACCATGAATTTGTGGATCATATATTTCCAATTATGGATACAGAGGCCTACAACCTCTGTAAGCTCTGAATCTAAAGTGGTCAACTGGTTCAGGGTTCCTATTACTCCTACTTCTAGGTTTTAGTAGAATTGTCTGATCCATCCTACTCATAGAAATAAACACGCTTGGCTTAACTAATTTCTTTATTGTGCCAAGACATAGTAGTAATTTAGGAAAAAATATATATTAAAAAAGTAATTCAATTCTGTGGTTTAAGTAATTTAAGGTTTAAGTAAAGTTTAAGTAATTCTTCTGTAACAACTTCAAAAAAGTGTCAAGGATGTAGCCTGACTCTTTGTCCAACACAGTTCTGACTTTTCTGTTAAACATAGCGTGAGCGTGACATACTGTAGGCTAATTACTCTTCAGAGGTTTTTAAATGAATCTAATGATAAAAAAAAATATCATGAACTTATTTCTCTATCAGAACTAGTAGCACAATGGCACACAAAATACAAACTATTTAAGCTTATTTTAACACTTTGTTACGGTTGACTACAGATCCCCATTTACCTGGTAGCTTTGGACAGTTATTAAACAATTAACATTTCAGGAGCGTTTCTCCTGTATCCGACCAATGGTGATGGAGCAGATTATGAGAGTGGTGGGGGGTGCGTGTCGAAATGCTCGCTGGGGCTGCCTGGTGTTCCCGGACCCGTCTGTACGCCAGGACCACGAGCAGGTGTGCGGCTGGCGGAGAGTGAGATGTGTCTGGTGCTGCGTCTCCGTCGGCGTCAACAAGTGGGCAGAACATGTGGTGGATAAACACGGAGCACACGCCCTCTGTTACGACACTCAAGGTGACACCTACCACTTGTGGAGCTCTTTTTTATAAACATCTGTTTTATAATTTTTTTTGTATTGTCTTTATCTAAGCCTTTGAAATATTTGAAGTAAGGGAACGTTTCAAACTCTGGTCTTGTTATTGATGTCAACCTCTAGATAGCATCGTTAATTACTAGCCCAACGACAAAACGGCATCTGGGTCCAGAAACAGTCTCGCCTGGAATCAATCCAGCGAACTTCAGAATTTGAAGGCGAGGACTATGACCACTTGGCTACCCAGACAAAGTGTGCAGGGAGGTTTGGGGATCAGCGATTGTTTTGGCGGTTTTAGGTCTAATGATCAGAAAACAGGTTTGATAAGGGTGACTACTGATCACAGGAGTTGGATTTTAAGTGGAAGGTCGCTGATTTTAGTGGGAGGTCAGGAAATCTACTGGAAAGTCCAATGTTTTTAAGTTTACTGAGAAGTCAATAATCTTAAATCAAAAGTTATTGATTTTTAATGAGGGCCTCAAAAAAGTATAATACAGTTTTGGCCTTTATCTTTATAAGTTTTGTATTCAGTCAAAACAAACAAAAGTTTTTAAATACATTCACCTACTCTTGAAAGTTTCTATTTAAAATTCATAACCGCAAAAAGTCACTGAAGAGTCACAGATTTTGATTCTCTAGGGAACGAGCAGACAACCTGTTCAACTCCCTTTTTCAATACCTGTTTTTGGTTTTTGATTGAAATAAAATAATTAAAACCCAACTGAAGACATTTTTTAAATATTTTTCAGGTCTTGAGGCTATTCCGTTGGGCTTGAATGAAGAAAAGAGTCTCTTCTACATAAACGGAGTTATGTTTTGCCTGTATATCATGCGAAGACAGGACCACGGACCTCTTCACCTTATTTTGCAATGTTTCCCGACATCAAAAGATGATATGGACACTATTTTCGAAGTCCAGTTGGAAAACAAAGGGTTGTACTTTCGACAGTCAATCCATCCCATTTCGGATGCCGTTAAACGGTCAAAGGTTTTTGAGAGTTTGGATAAGGGTATTACCATTCCTCATTACTTTTTGAAACAGAAAGATTACTTTTATTTCAAAATCACTATGCCAATTATCTTTAATAATAAAAAGGTGCTTGCTGCTCCGAAAGTGGAGTGTTGAAAATGTACTTTAGTTTGTTTTGGGTTTTTGTTGAAGCAAGGAGATTTGTACAATGATCCACCAAGTGGTTTACATGTTGAAATCGTGTACATGAATACTTATAATTACTCTGATGAAGTAAAGTAGCTACAAAGAACCCCCCTTTTAATTTTTACCTATGTTAAACATGTTATTTGTTTGTTGAGAAGTGCAAATTTAAAGTTAAGCGTAAAGCTGTTGATTCCCATGCTGCTAATTCATTTTGTTAATTGTTAATATTAAATCATAAGATATTTTATGTAATATAATTACACACATTAGTTACTTGTGATTGTGTTTGGTATGTAATTGTATGTATTATTAAATGTATTTAGCTTTTTGTAACTTACTGAATTATAATTGCCATGAATAAATCTCATTGGTTAAATTGTCGAATTTGATTTTAAAAAGGAATGTATAGAGTCAAAATAAAACTATGTCTTGCACGACAAATTTGTATTTAATTTTGTTGAATTTGTTTTTATTTATAATAAATAAAGTATTTGATCCTACATCATGTCTTACACAAATATTTTGTAGAAGCCTGATAATTTGCCTTTAATTATAATCCTGGGCTTAAAAATGTTGCTTTTGACAATAATGAATGTACACAAGAAATTTCATTTTTAAGCCCACTCTGGTTTAAGCTAGAATTCATGGCCGCCATTTTGAAATCATACAAAGTGGAGACTTAATGCTTTGCAAAAACATACTTTCTATTAGTTATCATACACGTACCAAGTTTGAAGTTCGCACCTTAAGTCATTTCAAAGCTATGGAAAGATAATATGTAAAAAATACATACACACTGACAGACGGAAAACGAAACGAGATAGGGCATATGTTTATATGATATTTTTGGTTTGTTTTGACTTAAGGAACATGCCCACGGAGTTTCGATAGAGAGTTTCGAAACACCCTGTATATGTGAACATTTGCACGATAACTCTGAGAGTAAAAATCATCTGATTTTGATGAAATTTCGTACAAACATGTAAACCTATATTTATTTGAACAGATACGCAAATTTGATCAGACTATGGGAATGGTGATTTTATGAGGGGTTTTATGGAGTAAAAATAGGGTTTTATCATTTTTGATCCTCAGATTTGCTACGGCGGAGATATTTTTTATCTCTGACGTCAACATGACGTTGGAACCTGCCTGGGGGGCAGTTTTGCGGCGACCCATATTTTCCCCCATGATAGAAGAAGAATCTCAAAAATAATTGGACATAAAAGTGGCTTCAGATTTGACTTGCACTATTACAGTTTTATTATCATATATGACTGTGATGATAGAACTTTCTAAATTCTATGATATTAGCAACATGTATGTGATGGAAGGACCCTGATTGGTTGCTATCAACAGTGGATGGATGTGCTGTCAACTTAAACTGACACATCAATCTTTTAACCAACCCTGCCTATTACGATATTGGATACCACTTGAACCTTTTCCCTAAAAATGTTTTATAACTTTCCTCAAAATCAGCTGATATTGAAATCGTCAGAAAGCTGCAAATCGTTTCTTACTCATCCCAAAGTTATCTCTTTCTGTACAGGCTTAAAATATACTAAGCTATTCATAGCTACATTACTATTTCAAATAATTCATTCCATCAAAAATATACAATTAAACTCAGCATTACAACTCCTTGATCCTCCTTAAGAGCAGGGGCGTCGCACAAAAAAAATATTGGGGAAGGAGACACTTTGAATTTCCCAACTATTTTATGCGGATTTCCCAACTATATTACACTAATTTCCCAACTATATTACACATATTTCCCAACTACATTACTCAAAATTTTCAACTATATTACTCAGATTACCCAACTAATTAATATTAAGTTTTAACAATAAGAAGGTCATTTAACCTTTAGATTCTCTTTATAGCTTGCATACACAATTTTTTGTAAAATAAATTAAGGTTTTTCGCACATTATTGGTTTGACTGTCAATCTTCATTGTTGCATATGTACACACAGTAGGTCACTGATCAATAATACATCAAGCTTTTAGCCTGTTAAAATCAGTATGTAATAAAAACTCAGTGGATAATACAGCTCTCCACCACAGAACTACAGTATAAACAAGTTCTATGCTCTCCACACAAGGGAAAGGAATTTCCCTAAACAGCCTTGAACTACAGAAACGTTATGTTACATTGCATTTTACTCAACATATGAATTTTCCAACAATTTTTTACTTGAATTATTAGTTTATGAGGGTAAATGTCTGCTTAGTTTGAAAATAAACTTTAAAGTTGACAGTATAACGACAGTTTCAAACTTCCCAAAATCCCAACTCATACCTTCAAATACCCAAAAATACCCCCGCCGCAGCAAACCTGCAGTCTAAGCGAATTTCCATTTGGCTGAATTGATTTTCAATTGATCTATTTAAATAACATTAGGTTTAAAGAGTACCTAGGTTTGCTGCTACAAGGAAACTAATAAAGTGTGTGTTTTAAGTAAAATAATTATTGCTTAGTATAAAATGAATATATTTGCCAAGTTTGATCAAAAGATATCCATAAACAAGCAAACTACAACATTTTACAATATTCTCCATAAGAATAACATGGGAATTTTAAATTTACCATTTTTTTAGTTTTCTCTGTAACCAATAACCGTACAAAAACATTTTGATATACTCAATTGTTTGTTTTTTAAAGCTCTTTAAGAAGGTTTAGAGAAAAATTGGGAAATTTTGTGTTTTGAGGGTCAAAAGTGAGAAAAACCAATTTTTACCCCTTAAAACCCCCCATAAAACCCTGTTCCCATGGTCCGATCATGCTGGATCGCGAACTCATTCAAGTTTATCCAGCCTTACACCTTCAAACCAAATTTCATCAAAATCGGATAAAAATTACTCAAGTTATCGTGTTCACGGACACATATATATATATACTTTTGTGCCCACCCGGTTTGGCAGTCAGTGCGCTGGTAATTTACTCGGTGTGGCAGTCACGCGCCCGAAAGCCAGTCAGCTCTCCCATAAGCCAGTCAGGTATGGCTTCCCGTGCACTTTATACGTATGAAAACAGCAAACCGGTGCTGCTGCCTGTGTCGATAAGCGTAACTGCAATACCAATGCGGAGACTGTCTCATCGTGTGTTCTATCGTGGAGTAGTGTAGTGTAGTGTACGGCACCCTACCCTACTTTGTAGCGGTAAAACCCAGCGGTCTGTAACCTTCGTTTACTCCTTGTTACTATTTGTGTTGGGATAGTGATTAACTACGTGTTAATGTTTAAACATGTTCATACTCCAAATAAATATGATGCACCTCTAATAAGGATCGTCGAATATTAATTAATTATAATTGGTTGAATCTTGATCCTACCCGTTCATCATCTCATATTTTAAGTTATTTTGATTTTTTTTACCTTCAGTTGAAATTTTAGTCAACTTCTCCTTTATACAATATTTTTTATCCTAGTATTTACAGTGTTTCCACGGACCGGGAACTATACGGATTTTCTTTATCTCGAGAAATATACGTGAATCTTGTCCGAGATACTGGAACTGTTTTTTACGCAATTGCGTAACGCGAAGGAGTAACTATTACATATGACAACGATATTATTCTATCTGATAAGAATAACCATGAAACTACACTCGAAAGATAAAATATTTTTATAATAATTTCAATTTTACAAACAAACTATTACAGGAATTATATTTTGGGACGGATGAATGATAAGGAAGCAACAAAAAGTGGTCACGAGTGCAAATACGAGGAGGGAGGGGGGTACAATATAACGAACGCCAGAAACGATTATTTGTTTACTTATCAGATTCCTTATCAAATCTCTCTCTCTCTCTCTCTCTCTCTCTCTCTCTCTCTCTCTCTCTCTCTCTCTCTCTCTCTCTCTCCCCCTCTCGCTCTCTAACAATGTACAGATTGTGGACTTTACGATTTAAGTTTTCCTGCAATTATTTCAGTTCAATCCCATACCTATCCTTATGGTTTCCTATCTATTATTTTTCAAAATAAATAGTAAAGCAGGTTAAACTATTTTTTATTTTATTTTCTTGAAACCAAACACTCTTTACCATCCCGTATTCTGCAGAGTCAAATGTTTAACACTGTGTTTATAAAAATTGAATGGCCACACAATTTTGTGATTTATTTTTTTTTACTAATAGTAACTGGGATATTTATATATACCAATAAGTGCTGCAAGCTGTAATAAATGCTGCTGATTAATATCAAAATAAGTTATAATTTATTTTGTATAATACATCGGTCATTGAATACAAACCATAATGGGTTTTCTATTTGTAACTTTAACTTGCAAATGCAGTAGAACCTCGCTTAACTGGAGTCGCATCATCATGATGCCTATAGATTATATAACCTCACAAATCCCAAGAAAATGTTTTATTAACTGTGTTTTTCAGTCTAATATTTCGATATGAACGATATATTTAACTATTTACGGTAATTTTTATGTGCAGTAGGTTCCCAATTATTGAAATATTACAGATCATTTAACAAAAATAAGATGGAAGCAAAACGGAGAAATATCGATCAGTATCGTCAAGGTCAACCTATACGCTCGCACCTACACACTGACAATCTTGCACTGACACTGACATACTGACAATCGTCTGCTTCTGTCTGCTGTCACAACACTACAATATTTTGTGGTTGGGTCGTTGGGTGATTAGTAACCATGACAACTTGTGGATGTAGAGAAACCAAAGAAAGAATAGAACAAAGAGAAATAATAAGAGGTGTCATTTTTATCTTTATCTTATTTTTATCATTGTTATTATTACCAGAAAGACTTAAGTACAGTACTATGATTTTATGGTGTTTTATGAGTTATTTAATATTTTTATCCCCATACTTCTGTTCTGAAACATCATGTAGTAGTAGCCTAGGATGACTACGGTTTTAGTAGTCTTCTAGTCTACATTTTCATTTTGTTTTGTTCTTTACGTGATTTATTGCTGTACAGTAAGCAAGTTTTGTTTTGTTTGAGTAAGCATACGGTGTAGTTTTTATTAGTAAACCAAGGTTAATGACTTCACATATCACGGTTGCGCAATACCTATTGTATTTTGACTATGTAAAATGCAAATTTATAATCACGTTAACGTCCATTTATATAGTGTCCCGGAACGGCATTGTTCCTGAGTAAGAAACCTATAAATATCATATTTAAATTATCCAGAAGTCCTTAGTTACTCACACGGGGAAAACAAGTTTTAGGCCTAAATCATTTGAAACCTGTACATTACATATTTTTGGTCGAGTTTTCGACCACTGGACGACCACTAGTTAAAGTTAATTGTATTACAACAATCTTTATAGTAAGCAATATAAGCTTGAATCGGACTTATCTGCCTTCAGCTAATCCATCATATGATAGTACGTTAGAGAGTATGCCCATGCTGAAGTTTTACTTATACT